GTAAACTCAAAATGGATCAAAGACCTGAATGTAAGTCATGAAACCATAAAACTCTTAGAAGATAATATAGGCAAAACTCTTGAATATAAACATGAGCAACTTCTTCATGAACATATCTCCCCAAGCAAGGGAAACAAAAGCAAAAATGAACAAGTGGGACTTTATCAAACTAAAAAGCTTCTGTACAGCAAAGGACACCATCAGCAAAACAAAAAGGCATCCCACGGTATGGGAGAATGTATTTATAAATGACATATCCAATAAGGGTTGACATCCACAATATACAAAGAGCTCACGCACCTCAACAAACAAAAAGCAAATAACCCAATTATAAAATGGGCAAAGGATCTGAACAGACACTTCTCCAATGAAGAAATTCAGATGACCAACAAGCACATGAAAAAGATGCTCCACAACGTTAATCATCGGAGAAATGCAAATTAAAACAACACTGAAATATCAACTCACACCAGGTAGGGTGGCCACCATCCAAAAGACAAACAAATGTTGGTGAGGATGTGGAACCCTCCTACACTGCTGGTGGAAATGTAAGCTAGTTCAACCATTGTAGAAAGCAACATGGAGGGTCCTCAAAAAACTAAAATTAGAAATACCACTTGACCTCAGAATCCCACTCCTTGAAATTTACCCAAAGAATACAACTTTTCAGATTCAAAAAGACATATGCACCCCTATGTTTATCACCACACTTTTTACAATAGCCAAGATATGGAAGCAACCTAAGTGTCCATCTGTAGATGAATGGATAAAGAAAATGTGGTACATATACACAGTGGAATACTCTTCAGCATTAAGAAACAGATTCTACCATTTGCAACCACATGAATGGAGCTGGAGGACATTATGCTCAGTGAAATAAGCCAGGCAGAAAAAGACAAATGCCAAATGATTTCCCTCATTTGTGGAGTATAACAATGAAGCAAAACTGAAGGAACAAAAGAGCAGCAGACTCAGAGACTCCAAGGAACTATTGGTTACCAAAAAGGAGGGGTGTGGGAGGGCAGATGGAGAGGGAGGGAGAAGGGGATTGAGGGGTATTACATTTAGCTCACATGGTGTGGGAGATCATGTGGAGAACAGTGTAGCACAGAGAAGGCACATAGTGGATCTGTGGCTTCTTACTACACTGATGGACAGTAGACTGCATTGGGATATAGGTGGGGTCTTCATAATATGGATAAATGTAGTAACCACATTGTTTTTCATGTGAAACCTTCATAGAGTGTATATCCATCATACCTTAATAAAAAAAAGTCAATAAATAAATAAATAAATAAATAACACTAAAAAAAAAAAACTGAAGGAAGAAAACAGCAGCAGATTCACAGAATCCAATAATGGACTAATAGTTGCCAAAGGGAAAGGGACTGGGGAGGATGGGTGGGAAGGGAGGGATAAGGGGAAAAAGGGGCATTATGATTAGCACAAATAATGTGGGGCAGGGGGGGAATGGGGAAGGCAGTATAGCACAGAGAAGATAAGTAGTGATTTGACAGACAGTGACTGTAATGGGTATATGGTGGGGACTTGATAATGGGGGGAATCTAGTAGCTACAACATGGTTTATGTAAGTGTATATTAATGATACCAAAAGAGAAAAAAATAATACTATCCACAAAATATTTAGAGGAAAAAATGGAATTCACAAAGGGTTATATTTTGTATTTTTTAATGTTTTTAATTTTTTTGTTTCAAATACATGAATATATGCATAGAAAAAACCTGAAAAAATAAAGACAGATAACAACTGTTACCTCTTGGTATATTTATAAAGGACCTTTGCTTTCTATTTCATACTCTTCTTTATTATTAAAGTTTCAAAAGACAAGTATGTTATTACTTTCAAAATTTTAAATACTTACATTCAATGTAAAAATTAAGACATTTTTAAGAATCTGTAACAGAAGTTTCCCTGCCAAGCCCATGGCTTCAAGTTCTTTCCAAAGGCTATATCCCTATCTTCTTTCCTGAAGTTGAAAGATGCTCCAAGGCAGGGCTGCTTGCTACCCAGTCTTGGACTTCCAGCCCACTAGACAGTCACAGCTGCTACTTTTTAAAATCTCTTAAATTAAGGCATTACTTACATATGTAAAAATTCATCTATTTTATCTGTACAATTTGATGAACTTTTGTACTGTTTACAATTGTGTAACCACAATCACAAGCTTTTCTCATGCCCCTGAAAACTTTTCTCTTGTCCCTTTGTAGTGGATCCCCTCCCCATTCCTGGCTGCAGACAACTAGTGATCTGCTTTCCCACAATAGTTTTGCCTTTTCTAGAATTTCAACTAAATGAATTCATGTTGTAGGCAGTCTTTGTGTTTGACTTCTTTCACTTAGCACAATGGCATTTATCCATGTTGCATTGATACTGTTATTTTTTATTCCTTAGAAAAATATTCCATTGTGGAGATAAAACATTTATTCACCAGTTGATGAACATTTGCTTTGCTTCCAGTCTTTTGCTATATTATGAATAATAATGCTATGAACTTTTGTATTCAGGTCTCTGGACACATGTCTTCATTTCTTTTAGGTAAATGCCTACAACTGCTGTGTCATATGGTAAGTGTATGTTTAACTTTACAAGATCCTGCCACACTGTTTTCCAACAGTACTATACAATTTTGCATTTCTATCAACACATTATGAGTGTTCCACTTACTTGACAACACTGAGAATATTTGATAAGGCTAATGTAAAGGTTTCCCAGAAGTACCTTTTGATTTTAAAAAACAAATTAAATTATCCATTAAAATCTGAATTAAATATTTTAATTCCTATTAAAATATATATAGCTTTCCTAGATATTAGCATTAGCTTTAAATTATAATTAAACCAGTTCAAATTTACCTTTGAATGATCTCTTCCTTTCATTGTGTCCTTACCTGAGTTGCTCAATTTTCTCTGGATTAACAGGACCCTTCCCAAAAACCCGGTCTATCTCTTCATATAGTTTATTCTGAATGTCTTCAGAAGTGGTTAAAAAACAGATTGCCCAGGTGCACACTAAATGAAAATTAATATTGATAACAATGAAAACAGCTAACTCGCAGTTTGGGTGTAGAGTAAGAAAAAACTTACTTTTCTTGGCATTTTCCTGTTTTCTCTGATACAGAAGACAAATATGCTACCAAATATAAAAGAACAGGATTTGTACCTCATTGGACAGAACATGAATATTTATAGAACACTCCCAATGTTCTGGAATGTGTAGTCTGGAAGATTTCTCTCTTAAAACTGGCAAGTAACTGAAGCCACTTAATGTATTTTATCTTAGGTAAAAATAGTAATGATAATAAACTTCACATCTGAGGGAACGTTGAACGTTGATAACTATGATGAATTGTCTAGTTCATTCAACATTGTAAAATCAAAAAATTGATTTATAAGTTCTCTCAGGAGTCCTAATGAAATAATTTATACAAATCAAAGTAGCAGATTTACCTAAAAATCAATATTCTAAATTTTAACTTGAAATGGCGGAAACAGTGGCCTAAGAACTTAGGACTTGGTAATTGCTTAGGACAGTGGCTCTAAAAAAATCAACTGTGAGTTGGCTGATGGTGCAACTCCACATTCACAGATTCTGATTCAGCAGGTTTAAGATGGGGTCCAGGCATCATATGATCAAATAACAAATACCACAATTATTTTGATGAACCCCAAAATTTGAAGATTACTAAGCTTATGGCTTACTTTTGCTTAAAATGGTTTATGGATAATACTCACTGAGGAAACGAAAAAGGAAGAAAATTACAAGATGAATATAAACCAGAGGAAACAGAGTAGTTAGTTATATTTCCCTTTAGAATCCACTGAGATTACAACTATTCAAAGAATGGAACCATCCAAGTACATATTACCTCTTTTCCTAGATTATGTTTAAGATGATCCATCTATAGCTCTACTTTTTCCATGATAAGTACTTTTTAAAATGCTCTTAGTAGTTTCTACTTCTACGTATTAATCATCTCTCCTGATTTAAGGGCCAACTTAAGTTTACCTCAAAGTCAATATTCTTTTAATGTGTGCTTAATTCACATGTTACCCAGTACCTATACCTGGAAAAGACATAACTCACTTTCTGCATTAAATATTATTGTCAAGCAAATAAGTAGCTACCTGGTACCAATTATTTTGATAATTTACTTACATCCAGAGCTCATTAAAGGCACATAAGTAACTGCCTGTCCTTAACATTTTCCTACATATACTTCTTTATTATGGCTTTGGAGTGAACTGTACAAGAGATGTGAAAACTTGTACAGTGAACAATACTTTTATGTACACTTATTTTATAATTTACAGTAATATACAATATTGAAAGATGTAGCACAAGGATTTGCATACAGTAGGCACTCATATACCTTGTTTGACTATATTATCACTTAAAATTAATATAACTGTATGTACTTAATAATCTCAAACATTGGATGTTTTATGGAACTCTATTAAAAAGTATGACTAGGGATAGTTAAAAACGTGATTTTAAGCAACTGAACATTCTTTAGTTACAATACTGAACCAAGACACAATTTTATAGTTGAAAGAGAGCTTGGATGTAATCTAGACTTAAACCCTTATTTTAGAAAAAGAGAAAATGTAGAGGTAAGTATCTTGCTCAAGGCTAGTAAGTGGCAGAGGAAGGACTTTAATTAAGGTTTCCTTCCTATCTTGACTCTCAAAAACTTCAGAAGTACTTAAAAAGTAAACAACCCACATGCAAAGAAATAGCAGTACTCTGAAATTCCCCTGAAAAACTGCAAAGAAGATTAAAATATTAACTCAACTTTGAAAATGGTCACTTTTTGTGGTATATGGAGCACAACTGATTTCGATCTGTAAAGGTCTTTAGCAAAGATATATTTTAATGTAATTAATTTTTAAAAGGTTTTTTAAGAAGGGTTATTAATACATTACATTTGACACTCACCTAAATTCCATTTAATCTATAATATGCATCACCAAATGTCAAATATTTTACAGAGAAGAAAAATTTATAGGAAGTTAACATTTGTACTCATCACCTTTAAGAAAATTTCCTTAAACAGAAAGAGTTGTAAATGAAATCTTTCAAGTGAACATAAATTTTTTTAGATTTTTAAACTGTTTTAAATCAGCCTTCAGTATTTTGTGTTAGTATACTGTTATGTATATACACACATTTTTATGACTACTGTACGAATGAATCTCTGTTAAACTAAAATCCATTAAGGAAACCTAGAAACATATCACACATTTCAGAATTTTAAATAAAAATCATCCTCAATTTCAGCAAGAGAGTTCTTTTAAATCATTATTTCTGTGGCCTATATATTCTGTTGGTAGACCTTAATAATAAAAATTGGATTGGAGTCAAAGTGAAAAGCCACAGCAGGAAACTGAAAAGCTCACTGCTCTGGTAGTAAAGGTGTCAATAGCAGTTCATTTTAAAGGCACTAACTAGAATTCACAATCCATATACTCTGTCAAGAAATTTACGGCAATGTTCAGAGGTGGCATAGAGCACCTGGGGTTTAAAAAAAAAAGTATCTGTATGAATCAAGCCTTTCAAACAAGAATAAAACATAACAGAGAAGGAAAATTACACAGGTCTTAAAATCATTATTTCTTTTATCTTAAAATAGCTTTGCCCTTGCATATTTTATAATCTATCTCAAAAAGAAATGAATTTATACTTACATTTTGCAGTTATTATGCAACTGGCCAGAGAAAATATCACACTGTCTTCTAGGATCTAGGAAATAAAACTAAGTTTAGGAAGTATGATACATAAGGTGAACTATATGAGGCCCTACTAAAAAAACACAGATTATAGAATTAGGGCCAAGGAAAGGGAAAAAGTATATTATTTCTTTATGTTTTCATTTAAAAAAAAAGTCTACATAATGTAAAAAACAACCTAAATATTGCATTGTATTTTTGATGCAGGAAACATGTATCAGTAATATTACTGGCTCATGATACATTTCTGTAAATAAACCGGCACAGTTCTGTATTATTGACTGGGTCTGGTGCAGCAACAAGGCCTCAACAACAGTGTAAAAGAACCTGCCTCTGTTCTTGTCGTCTGATTCAATTCTTGCACCCACACAAACCCAGAAACCATTTTTGACTATGAGGACTTGCATGAATAGAGGGGACAAAAGACTCCTATCATGAACAGGTGTGGCAGTCATGGCTCCACTCTGATCCTTCACCTGACACCACGAGCACATAGGTGTACTGGGGTAACACTGGGAGCAAGCCAAGCTGCCATACCTGGTCATGCAGGCAGAGTGGCTTAGTTGTTAAAAGCTTACACAAACCCTCCTCTTTTATGATCAGAGATTTTGGGTTTAATATTTGCTTATCCAAATATTAAATAATATATAGCTGCTTCAAAGAGCTAAATAACAAGAGACTAAATATTTGTACTATTTATGGATGATGTGCAATAAAAAAGAAGAAGTCAATGAATTCTAGGAGGGCATCTGAAAGTGAATGAAAAGCACACTTTGTACATGTACATCTTTTATTTGATAAACATTTAACAATTACATCACCTGTTGTTCATTAAGGTTCCCCTGTACTAAGGAGTCAATGAAAATATGTTGACTGAAGCCCCTTCCTTTTCGTTCTTTTATGATTTTCTTTAAAGTATTTTCCATTTGCATAAGGGCTTAGAGAAGAAAAAAAGATTTTAGAATATAAGCATTTGTGAAGACTGAACATTTTCTTATATTTCTGTACAATGTTACTATGTGCAGAATAAGACTTTCAAAGTTAAAAGAGTAACCAACAATTTTAAAAAAGCTAATTTATGTTTAAACTCATCTGCTTTCTCTCCTTTTTGCTAAATTTAACATACATACAAAAAAGTGCATAGAACATTTATACACCATTTAAGGAATAACAATAAAGCAAACACCCATAATATTGTCATCTATGTTAATAAACAGAACAATACCAGCAACTTAAAGGTCTCACACACATACAGCTATCCCCTGATATTATCCACCTTTTTCTAAATTCTGTCCTCTTAATTTCATTTTTCTCCCAAATTAGACATCATTCATTTAGGGACAGAAGCAGATGTGAAATGATTAGAAAAGTAAGTTTCTGAAACCTAAAAGATATAGGATAACTGATATCCAGTAGTCAATAAAATTGTCCAGAGACCATTTCTCAGTCCCCATGTTAATTGAACTACCATAGCATTTGATAATGTTGATCACTTAGTCTTCAGGAAACTTTTCATTTGGCTCCCAGCCACCACAATTTCTTCCCTCTTACTGATTGCTCATTTTGTAGCTTCATCTAGTGCTCTTCTGATTCACTTCCCTCCAACCATAGAGCTCCCTGTTATACTTTAAGCACACCAGGAAAAATCCTACCTCCACTGTTGATTACTCTCATCTTTCAAACTTCTTAATAGTGGAATGTGCAAGGTAAGGGCTCAGTTTTTGGACATCTTCTCTTTTTCTATTTACATAAATTACCTTGGTGGTCACCAGTCTCAAGGCTTTAAATACAGTCTATGCACTAAACACTTCCAGATTTATATTTCTAGTTGGGACCTCTTTCCCCTGAATGCCAGACTCCAATGTCTAACAACCAACTCAACATTTCCAGTTGGGTATCTGAAGCATCGCATAGCCAAAACTAAACTCTTGATATCTCCTCCCATAACTTGATCTTCCTACAGTCTGCCCCATCTTATTTCCTAGTAACTTCATTTTCCAATTACTCAGGCCTAAAATCTTGGCGTCTCCTCTCTTACACTCCACATCTAATCTGTCAGACAAGGTTGGTAGTTCTATCTTCAAATAACAGAATCATTCTCCCTTCCTTTTCTTTTTTCATTCTTTATTTTCTGCTGCTTGCCACCTAGTCCAAGCCACATTGTTTCTCTTGCCTGACTCATTGCAATAGCCCCCTAATTAGTCTCCCTGCTTCTGCTCTGGGCTCCTATAATCAATCATAGCATCCAGAGTGATCCTTTAAAAACATGACTCAGATCATAACTCTATTTCCTATCTCATAGTAATAACTTAGCCATATACAATGATCTACAAGCCAGACAACATCTGTCCCATCCCCAAGACGTTCTAGCTTCATCTCCTAGTGCTCTTCTGATTCACTGCCCTCCAACCATACAGCTCCCTGTTATACTTTAAGCACACCAGGAAAAATCCTACCTCAAGAACTCTTCCTCCACATGGAATATTTTTCCCTCGGAATGTGGATTACCCTCATTATCTGCACTGACTGGTTTCCTTATCTCTTACAAGTGTTTGCTCAAAAGTCACCTAATCTTGTTGAGACCTTTCCTAATAAATGTATTTAAAACCACAACCTACCCTACCCCTAGCACTCTATATCCCCTTACTGATTTAATTTTCTCCATAGCACTTTTCATCTTTTAATACATACTCAGTTCACTTATATAGATTATCACCTGCCTCTTCCCACTGGAATGTGGCGCCAGAAGGAAAGGAATTTGTTTTGTTCACTAACATCTCCATAGCACCAAAAACATGAAGACATTATAGATCTTCACTAAGTATCTATGGAATTGAATGAATATGATGACACATTAGCGATTAAAATGAGAAACTAACACTGCAGTTCATTGGTCTCCAAACATTGCTACATATTAGAATTATCTAGGAAGCTTAAAAAAAATCATAAAGTACAAGTCACACTTCATATCAATTGAATCCAAATGTTTAGCGGTGGCAGCCAGGCTTTGATATTTTTTAGAAGATTCAATGTGTAGCAAAGTTTGGGAACTACTGCTGTACATTCTCAACCCGACAAGTCCATCAAAATAATAATGGAGAGCTTTTATAAAATACCTGATGCCTAGGGCATCTATCCCACATTCTGAATAAATTGGTCTAGTTTTTTTGTTTTAAGTTCCCAAAGTGATTCTAATGGGCAGATGAGGTTGAGAATTACTCAAACAAAGGAAGCACTGATCCAGTCATGGGATCCCACTCATATAAATACCAAAATATAACCATTTTCAATAAAATCTCAAATTTAATCTCTACTCATGTTACAGCCCAAGGAACACATCATGATAGAGGCAAATTGCTTTTACTTAGAATCAAAGAATATAAATATGTTTTTTATTAAGGGGTATTAATCCAAATGCATCTACCAAGATAATGAGAATGGTAATGAAAACCAGGCAGCAGACAATCTGTCAAATAAACTGACTTTTCTGGACATATGTTGAATATTAAGAGACTCACTAGAATGGTAATTCCCACAAGGACAGGAATTTTTGTTTCCTATACATACATATACATATACATTTTAACCTCCTATCATATATAGTCCTTAAATACTTGCTGAAAGAATAAAAGAAGAGAATCCTGAGAACCAATATCATTATATATGGAAAACAATCCATTATTCCAATTCAGCCTATGTATTTTAATTTGCCCTGGACTTCCAAAAAAGGAACTGAAGCAGCTCAGAATAAAGGTATTAAAACATTACAATCATTAAATTACAGACAAATATAGAACAACAACAAAAAAGGGAGAATAATTTTGGGGAGCCATCTTGAACTAAAATCGTATTTTTCTGTATAATTATATAAAGTTGTAACCAATGCAAAATAATTTTGACAATATTTTTACTTAATGTTACAATGGCAAGAATTTTCATATTGCTACAGTTTTTACAAATATCTACATGGTATTTAATCATGTTGATGGTATTTCCTTAGTAAATCCTGTATTGTTGGGCATTTAGATTGTTTCTGGTTTTCTACTTGCAGAAATAGCACTAGAAAAAATATTCACGAATATTTTCTTCTTTTAGATAATTTGGTCCATTATTTATGACTCTTAATATGTACTGTCAAATTGCTTTCCCAGGATTGTAACCATACATTTTCCATTAATCCTATAGGCTATGCCAACTCCACAGCACCCGCATGCTGCAGTGAGTGCTAGAGTTTCATTTACTAATTCATTGCTTTTCCCTCTCTGTTGTTTAAGAAAAACTTTCATAATAGGAAATGTAAGAAAAAAACATAAAGAGAAAATATACATGACCTAGTGTCAAGATTCAGAGATAACACTATTAAAGTTGGGGCATAGGTCCTTTTGTCCTAACTAAAAATCAAGAGTAGCAAAACTTACCATTTTCATATTGTTTTTTCCTAGTTGTACTTTTATCAAGTGATCCATCTAGAAAGCCTTTTCCAATCTCAGACCAAACCTGAAAATAGGAAAACATACCTATTTCTAATAAGCAGATTTTCTAAATAATACCAAGCAATGTAAGCTAATAATTGAGGGACTCCTGTCTCACCACAGATCTGATTAAGCTCTCCTTTTTAAGTGGGCTGAATAATCATTTACATCATAGTGTGGATAGGGCACAAATGTATTTTAATAATTTCAGTCAAGGTACTTTCAGAGTAGTTATAATTGGGAAATCAAAACTTCCTTTTCTAAAACAAGTAGGAACAGGAAAGAAAAGGCCATCAGTGATAAATAAAATTCATAGGGAATTCCAAATTTTTACTCACCAGAGATACTGATAAGCATTTGCTAAGATCCAGAAAGAAGTTAAAACTTAATCTAAGGTCTGGAGATAGTTAACAACAGAATAGGCTTGCAGTTATTTCAAAATTGGGTAATCTACCCCTGAAAACACTTTAACTTGTTTATAATTCAAGAGTTCTAAAAGAACTTGGGAAAGAACACAATGGTAGATATTTTGATAAATTATTAATAAAGAGTTTACAACTCTTACTTTACAAAGATTTACCTTTCAGATTATTTAAATATAAAAAATCAAACTATTAAAAGTAAAAATGTATAGTAAATGTTAATATTAGGACTATTCTTAAAGTGAGAAAGGAGTTTCTAAGCATAACACAGAGCCCAGGACAAAAATTTATAATGAAAAAGTAGAATTTATTTAGCTACTCCATCCCAATAACAAAAAGCTGAATAGACTAAAAAATCAACAGCTCTTCTTGGATTCCTAGGACAGAGGGACCCAGGGCAAACTGAGGCCCCCAAGACTGGAGAGACAGCAGACAACAAGGGGTCACGTCTTACTGAAATAGACCCACAAGTGGAAACCACCTGAGGAACCAGTGCTAGGGTGGGAAAACCTGAAATGTAATTGACAAACTGCTGGAGGTTCAGTATACACAACCCTGAGTTTAATACTCCAGGGGATCCGGTCATATGAGGTCCCCCTAAAATTGTGAGATTTACCTCCAGGAGCTCAACCAGTTTCCCACAGTAAATATCAGAGAAAAATCCCCTTGGGCTTCCAGCTGTGGGAAGGGAAAAGGAACCAATCTGAAATAAGCTAGGGCACCCTGTCTTAACAAGGCCTGTCCTCAGAGGAGACTTGTTAGTCAGAGCCTAACCTACTAGAGTATTATCAGATCCTAACTGACCTACGGAGGGAAATACTCCAACTGCAGTCAGGTCTATCCTTCCACGTGGGAGAAGGGAAATACCAAACTGCAGTCCATTCAAGCAATCCTGTCCTAATTTAGGGGGTAGGAAAAAAATGAGTAACACTTTTAAAGTTCACAGTCTAGAGGTACAGGCTCCCTAAGACTGAGACCTAATCGTAAGACTATGGAATGATTCCCTTTCCCCACATCTCACCATTACCTTCCCAAAGGCCTATTTATACCAGTTTATTTTACCTAGTACATCATGTCCAGCTATCAAGAAAACAAATTACAAGATATACCAAAAGGGAAAAAACATAATTTCAAGAAACAGAGCAAGGATCAGAACCAGATATTGCAGGGATGCTGGAATGATCAGACCAGGAATTTAGAACACCTATGATTAATATGCAAAGGGCTCTAAAGGATCCTTAGGTAAAGAATAAAGCAGACAGCATGCAAGAACAGACAGGCAATGTAAGCAGAGAGATGGAAATCCTAAGGAAAAACCAAAATGAAATGTTAGAGATCAAAACCACTGAAACAGAAATGGAGACTGCCCTTGATAGGCTTATTGGTACAATGATTACAGCTTAGAAAAAAATTCCTGAGCTAGACTCTATCTATAGAATACTCAAAAACAGTTTCTTACAAAACTAAACATACTTTTACCAAATAATCCAGCAATTGCATTCTGTAACATTTACCCCAAGGAGCTGGAAATTTGTTTATATTTTCTTTATTGGAAAGCATCTAGATTTGGAGATAAAGTCTTTTTTTCTCTGAGTGATTCAGCTACTTTCCATTTGGTATTATGCACTCAAATTTACATTTACCTATTAAAATTGCCAGTTTGTTAAATATTTTTCATGCACAGTAGATTCAAGTTGTGTCTGAAAGTATCTCTTGTGCTTTTATTTTGCTGACTTTAAAAGGATTAATCTGGGCAGACATATGAAGAGGACAGGTTGCATTTAATATACTTTTTGGACTTTGTGGGACAAAGGTAACTGGTTAACCTTGAAGTGGCTGTTGTATGGTGGTTGTGCACATGCTTCAAAATACTATGGAAGAGAATGTTTCTATTGGCAGCACGTGAGAGGGATAGATGGTGAACCCCCACTATCTTGGAGAAGTATTCACTTCTCCAAAGCATTGAAGCAGTTGCCATAATAGGTGGAAATTTGGACTTCCATTGGGAGTTTTATTCATTTTCTTCATTTTGAATTGTATGTGCACTACCATTGCTACATCAGTTTGATATCAGTGTTGAAAAATTACCAGTTATATTTGCTGTTTACAATCCATAGAAGATTGGGATTAAAATGGATTTAATCCATTTTTAAAGCTGTGTGAATTTTTCTAAACAGGAACAACTATTTGCAATATGGGTTTTCATAGTGATTAAACCAATCATAACTTATAACTTTAATTATTAGCAGTTGAGAGCACATGCTCATAAAGCAATTTCAAAATATATTATTGAGTATATGGTAATCTCCAACAGGTTTTACCATTAGCATAATTTTGTGTAGTACAATTAAATTATAATTTTGGTAACATTCACTGGTTAACAATAAAGTGACAAAAGCTCAAAAAGAAGCTGGAAATGTGTTTACACAAAAATTGCCCACAGATATTTACAACAGCTTTATTTATAATTACCAAATGCTGGAAGGAACCAAGATGCCCTTTAGTAGGTGAATGGATAAACTAGTACATCCAGACAAGGAATACTAGTCAGTGCTAAAAGAAATGAGCTACCAAGCCATAATAAGACTTGGAGGAAGTTTAAATGCATATTACTAAGTGAAAGAAGTTTATCTGAGGTTACATACTATATGATTCCAATTATATGATATTCTGGAAAAGGCAAAACTATGGAAATAATAAAAAGATCAGTGGTTGCCCAGAGTGGGAGTGAGAAGGGAGGGAGAGATGAATAGGCAGGGCACAGAGGATTTTTAGGGCAGTGAAAATACTCTGTCTGAGATTTATACATTTGTCCAAACCTACCAAAATATAAAACACCAAGTGTAAAACTTTAGGTAAACTATGGACTAGGTGATTATGATGTGTCAATGTAAATTTATCCTTGGAAAAAAATGTACATTTCTGGTTAGTAATGATAATGGGGGAGGTTTATGCGTATGTTGAAGCAGGGTATATTTGGAAAATCTCTGTATCTTCCTATTCTATTGTAACCCTAAAACTACTTTTAAAAAATTAAGTCTTTTAAAAAAATTCTATAAATAAAAGTAAAAGCAAATCAAAACTGAGATAAAAATAAAGAACTCTTACATATGAATAAGAAAAAGAAATACATCCATTGAAATATGGGCAAAGGACGTGAGAAAGCATCCCACAAAAGAAACACGAATGTTCAACAAAAATATTCAACCATGTTTAACCTCACAAACAATAAAAGAATTATAAATTGTAATCATGAAATACCATTTTTTACTTATTAGATAGGCAAGTATTTGAAGGACCAATTATTATAAGTGGCAAAAACACAAGGGAAGAGCATTCTAATGTTGGTGGGAAATAATTGGGACAATGTTTTGGAGGAACAGTCCAGAAACACAGTACGTAACTGAAAGTGAGGTTGACCCCTGTGAAATCAGTATGCATCTTACAACCAAAGACATTTCCCAACTGTTGTAAGCTTAGCAGCAGTCATGATGTAGCTGTCACTGTTTTGCATTCACAAATGAGTTATTATTCTTGGGGGCATGACTGGACCACAGCAACCCCTTCAGTTGTTTCAGACACTGAAAGATCATTTGAGGAAGGATTTTAAGTCATGTTTATGATCTGAAAATCATAATTTTACAAAGGAATTTTATAAAGTCATTGGCCTACCACTTTTAAAAAATATTAAGGTTAAGAAACAAAAGCTGAGGATCTGGTCTAAAGTAAAGAGGCTTGACCACTAAAAGTAAGGATATTTGAATATGGGCTCTAGATAATAGTATTGTATGAGTGTTAATTTCCCAAGTTTGAAAACTGTTGTTACCATATAACAGAATATCCTTGTTTTTAAGAAACATAGACTAAAGTATTTGGGAGAAGAAAAGCAAAATGTCCACTTTACTCTCAAATGGTTCAGGTTAGGGGGGAAGGATGGTTAAATAGATGATGAATGACAAAAGCAAATGGGGCAAAATGTAAACACTGGTGCACCTGGGTAGACAGATCTATTAGAGTTCCTTGTACAAATTGCAACTTTTCCGTCAATTCGAAATTATTTCTACTCTGAAGTCTTAAGAAAAAATAAGAGAAAGAAAATGACACCATAAAAACATACAGAACAGGTTTCAGTACCTTAGAAGAAAATATGGAAATAGTGGAGGTCTCTTATTAAAAATGCTGTCTCATCAACATGAAAAAAATTAGGCATCAACTGAAGTAAAAATTGATTTTTCATTAAAATATGAAGACATCTGAGGGATTACTTAACCAATTTATTTCACCCACATATACAATTTACTACTGTAGGAGGTAGAATTCAGAGTGGTTTTTCTACTTTTATTTTTATGCTCCCAAACTTGTGAATGTTTTATAAGAAACATTTTTTAATCATTAAACACAAGTAATAAAACCATTTTTAATGGGAAAAAGCATAACATTAACCAGTGATAGGGTGTTAAGCCACAGTTTCTAGTGCCTTTTATCTCAAACACATTATCTTGATTATTTAACCTCTTTTTATAAATTTGAATGAGTAATTTCTCAGAGACCCAAAATGAGATAAATGACCTAAGCATGATTTCAGTTAAATAAATTGCTAAGATTTATAAAAATAGAGAATAATAAACAAATTCCAAGTGAATCTAGAAAAGGCTAAGGAATTAGCCTTTCTTCAAATCACATTTATTTTGATAGTATTTTAATGCTCCATTGGCTTTAACTTGTTTCTATATGGGACATAGTCTTATCTATTAAACACAGATTTTCTCTTTATTCTAGAATTCTAGTATTATTTTATACTTGCTTCAAAGATAATTTCTTTAGTCATCTGCTTTTTAAATTTCAAAATGTAATTGCTTAAAAAGAGTAATTCTTCAATTTTTTTTAAAAGAATTATCTTTGCTTGCATTGCTGTTTTTAGTCCAAAATAAGGAAGTACTATATTACAGAATTTAAACTTTCTTCTTAAGAGGCAAAGTCTACATTATTCAACTATCCAATTTGATGAAAGAATAATTTTAAATTTATCCCTAGTCTTACTGTGCCATGATTCTTCTGGAAATGAATGACTTCCTGGTCATCTTCAAATGTACTACCCATTATCATCTGTGTAACAGACTTCATAGCAAAACCAAGCATATGCTGGCAAAGAGGTACATGCTGGGACTCTGGATAGGAGAGCCATTTATCCAATAATTCTTCTGAAAGCTGCAAGAGAACAGAAAACCACAATGATTTACTATTTCCTCTTGTTAAATCAGAGAAAAAAATCAGCAACTAGATTCATTTCATAGAAAGACAGTTCAAGTCTATATTCAAAGTGTTCACTTGAATGGTCAGGCCAACACTGGCTCCACCTTTAATTATATCCTCACTGACTGAGGTTCAGATTCTGCCAAAGGGCTGATTTGAGAAACAAAACAGAACAACCACAACAATAAAAGCAAAATATAAATTAAAAGTTCAAAGATTGGAAAAACCTTAAAGCTATTGGAAATTAATAAGAGACTAAAATCTCAGAATCTAATTAAAAATTGCAAAAATTTACTACCCCAGAGTGCCTGTGATAATAGTAAACAATAAATATACGAATATGTAAACATCCTAGACATGCTTCAGTGACAGAAACCTCTCTAAGTCTCTTTTGTAATTTCTTCATTCAACACATATTTATTAAATCCCTTGTAGAATAAAAACAGTGTGAGGTAAAAAGATCAAAAGCTTTGGAGTCAGAAAAAACTTGGCTTTACTTCTGACTCTATCCCTTAGAAGTAATGTAACTTTGAGCAATTTGCTTAACTTTTCCAAGGTTCAGGTCTCTCAACAGTTAAAGGGGGATGACATCTCCTATCTTGAATGGTTACTGTGACAGGGATATTACATCCATGTTACATAAAATGGGAAGGATTTTGTAAGGAATATGTTAAAGCCCTTTTCATGTTAGGAACTCAAATTTAAGCTCCTTTTCCACATCAATTCCCATCAAAGTTTGTCACAGTTTAAAGGATTAAAATTAAGTTTTATGAAAACAAAACATTCAAAATGAAAAGATTAGCACTACATAGGTTTAAACCTACTTAAAGTGGAGTATATGGAATATAGCATTCTTTTTTGTTGTTGTTTTACATCCAAATTTATTTGAGAATGACAAAAGAAATAAAAATCAGAATATATAAGGTTAAGGTAAGAAAAAAATATAACTCTGGAATTTTTTGTAAATAAGATATTATAGTTACAAGAAGAATATAAGAAATGATCATTTGTAAAATCTGTTTCAGAGTATAATGTATAATTACCATCTTATTTCAGTATTGTTTGACCACTCTTCTATTCTAATTCTTACCCTAAATCATGCTTCAATCACCTTTTTTTTAATTAAAGTATCACTGATATACAATCTTATGATGGTTTCACATATACAACACAGTGGTTCAGCATTCACCCATATTATCAAGTCCTTACCACCTCTACTGAAGTCACTGAATATAATACTTCTTTTTTGGAGAAACAGAAGGGAAGCCTTAATGATTCCATAATATTAAGATTAGTGAATTAAATCAGTTAATATACTTTAAAAGAACTCTTTGAGATTTGGGTGAAATATGAAATAAACAGGAAAATAATTATTAAAATAGAATAAAACTGTATAAAGTTTTTCTTTCATGTTATTAACAAAATAATTCTATAAACTTTAAAAAGTTAGAATTCTATAGTTATTATTGAAATCACATAGTTTCTTTTATACTACAAAGTAAAAAAAGATTTTGGAAACAAATCATTGAAGTGAGGTTACTTCTAGGTAAAAATAGAAGAGCCAATATAACTTTAACTTGTAAGAAATGACAGAAGTTTCAAATGTGAAAGGTAAACATTGCTTTCTTACAGAAAAAAAAGATTTCTTGTAGAAAAAAATAAAACATACCAATTGATATAAGATAAATCCAAAGGATTTCCTTTTTCTAAACACCTGAAGTTTATTTGCTTCACAAAACATTTTTCTTAATAAGCATGGAGTTTTTGCCTCAAACAATTCTAGAAAAAGTGTATAACTTGCAACCATCTCAACTCTATGCACAGAAATAGGAAGTCCAAGTGAGGTTTACCCACTTAGATGCTGAACTGCCAGACCTTATTTCTTCATCATTTGGTCTGTTCCAAATGTCTAATCCTACACAGGCCTTTTTAAGCTACCAGGCCCAATCATATGTGACAAAGCTACATTCTCATCAGTAAACCATTTGTTCAAATTTATTCTAAGTACCACATGTCAGTGCAGATCCTTTACCTTGATCCTTATGCTTAAAGTAGGATTTATTTTGGTATAAGAAGTGCATTCCATTGATTTGTTTCTTTGTTCATTTGATTTTCGCAAATGGTTACATTGTTGTCTCACCATTAAGTATGTCTTTTTTCCACCATTCTGAAATGCCACCCATCATACCTGGATTTCTTGTATGAATTCAGGACTATTTCTGGACACTGTCTATTTCACTGGTCTTTAAATATGTCACTATCATAACTTTGATATTTTATTGTATCTTTATACTATTGCCTGTTATGATTCTCTTTCAAAATGTTCTGGAAGAGAGAATAACTTCCAGAATGGTGGAGTGAGGACCTTGGCAATCTCATTCTCTCTCTAAACCACTGATAATATGTGCAAAGCAATTAAACAACTAAAATCAACCATGTCAGCACTTTGGCAATTAACCAAAACCAGTAACCACTGGGAAGTGTCTATCCAACAAAAACAACTGAACTTTGGTTTTAGTTAAGGTTATGTTCATCTCCTTCTCCCCCAGGTTCAGTAGCATGGTAGCTACCAACCAACAGCACTACAGACAACACCTTTGAGTTTGACAGTAATATCACCACTAGTCACCAAAATGGTCACTGAAAATGGAGGGATGCGGGATCCCAACGACCCTAGCCCTCCCCAAAAGCTAGAAATGAGCTGGTGGAAACTTGTCAGTCAACTTCTGAAACCCTGAAATACAGTCAAAAATTTACAACAACCAGGCTTAGTAAAGAAGCTTGTACCTTGTAGTTAAGAAAGCACTGTCACATTTCAGCAACCTGCCTACCATCCTCACACCCCAGATAGGCAACACCTATGAGAAGAGCAGCCTATAATCCTGGTACAGATTCCTAAGAAACAATACAGATATTATTCTCAAAGAACTGTGGTTGTGAATCTCAACCTGTCTGGAAGCTCCATCAAGGACTGTTGCTTTGCCCAACTCTGAGCATTACCAGAGTAGGGATGGGTTCCTGGATGTTTTGTCCAGAAAATGTTTAAAGTCATAGGTAATGGCTGCAAAGGCTGGGGCAAAAACCACCACCAAGGACAAGAATAAACAGACTACAATGCCCAGGAAGGAAAAGGCTGGGAGAAGAGATAAATGTGGGAATAAGAGCTTTAAAAGCTCCTGTATATACCAGGGAATTAAGAAAAAACATGCATATGTCCAAGGGCAGAACTCAAGCTCAGTGATGAAAGGGTCAGTCCAACAGGAGGACATAACCATTATAAATATATATGTCCCCAACACAGGAGCACCTAAATATGTAAAAACAAATATTAACGGAATTAAAGAGGGAAATAGATTACAACACATTAACACACCACACAAATCAATAGGTAGATCAACCAGACAGAAAATAAATAACGAAACAGCAGCACTGAACAATACATTAGATCAGATGGACTTAACAGACATCTACAGAGCACACCACCCAAAATCAGCAGGATATGTCTTTTTCTCAAGTGTACATAGAAGCTCCAGAATAGATCACACAATATGCCACAAGAAGAGCCTCAATAAATTAAAAAAGATTGAAACTGTATCAAGTATCATTTCACATCACAGTGGTTGAAACTAGAAATAATCACACAAACAAAAAGCCTACCAACACATGGAGGTTAAACAATATACTTCTAAATAATCAATGGATCAATGACCAGATTTAAATGGAAATAATGCAATACATGGAGACAAATGAAAACAAAAATACAACAGTCCCATATTTGTGGGATGCCACAAAGGTCATTCTAAGAGGGAAGTGCACAGCAATACAAGCCTACCTCTACAAACAAGAACAATCCCAAATAAAGCCTATACTCACAGTTAAAGAAACTAGAAAAAAGAAGAACAATGAACACAAAATTAGTGGAAGGAAGAACATAATAAAGATTGGAGCAGAAATAAATAATACAGAGACATTAAAACAATAGAAAAAATTGATGAAACTAAGAGTTGGTTCTTTGAGAAAATAAATAAAATAGATAAACCCCTAGCCAGACTTAACAAGAAAAAAACAGAGAGAACACAAATGAACAAAATCAGAAACAAAGAAGGAATGGTCACAATGAATACCACAGAAATACAAAGATTATTAGAAAATACGATAAAAACTTAAATGCCAATAAATTGGACAACCTAGAAAAAATGGACAAATTCCTAGAAAAATACAACCTTCCAAGACTGACCCAGGAAGAAATAGAAAATCTGAACAGACCAATTACCATCAATGAAATTGAACTGGTAAACAAAATTTCCCAAAAACCAATATACCAGGTCCAGATGGCTTCACAGATTAATTCTACCAAACATTTAAAGAAGAGATACCCATCCTTCTTAAAGTGTTCCAAAAAGTAAAAGTGGAGGGAATACTCCCAAATTCATTCTATGAGGCCAGCAGACTCAAATACCAAAACCAGAGATATATAAATCACGAAAACTACTGATCAGTATTCCTGATGAACACAGATGCAAATATCCTCAACAAAGCATTAGCAAACTGAATTAAAAAATGCATCAAAAGGATCATCCATCATGACCAAGTGGGGTTTATTCCAGGGATGCAAGGATGGTAAAATATTCATAAATCAATCAATATTATACACCACATTAACAAAAAGGATAAAAAACATATGATCATCTCAATAGATGCTGAAAAGGCATTTGACAAACTCAACATTTACCATAAAAGCTCTCAACACAATGGGTATAGAGAAAACATACTTCAACATAATAAAGGTCATATATGACAAACCCACAGCCAACATCATACTTAACAGCGAACAGCTGAAAGTTTTTCCTTTAAGATTGGGAAGACAAGGATCCCCACTCTCCCCACTTTTATTCTACATAGTACTGGAGGTCCTAGCCACGGCAATCAGACAATACAAAGAGATGAAAGGAATC